AACTCTAGAGTTTTACCTATGAAATGTGTGGCCAAGAATGAAAGAAAAAAAGAAAAGAAATTCTTTTAGTGTTTAGAGACCTTAAGCTAATTGTAATAAAATCGAGGTTGATTAGCCATTTTAATAAGAAATGAAAAGTCTTGTAGGACTAAAATAATTTTCTTGCAAATTTTAAGACCAATCGGCCTAAACATGGAAAAAAAAAAAGGGACTTTGGGTTTTCTCAAACCAATTAAATAATTTATTGGACTTATTACCGTTAAGCGATAGGAAAGTCTCAAATACGAATTAGGCCCATGGCCCGACAAAAGACACTAGTCGGCGTTTAAACCTAGTTAGGTGAACGTTGCGACAAGATATTTGAAATCATGTGAAATATATGTGAACCCGGCTTGGGTGTATTGGTTTGAAACCTATATGGTTTGGTACCCACACTAGGTTTAATACTTTAATTGTGACATCACATGCATCACATGCATTGGTGGGGATGAATTGAGAAAGAATCAAATGGTTGAAAAGTGGTGTGTATGGCTAGGGGTGGTAACCTAATCGAAGAAAAAGGGGTTAGCGATCTAACTGTTAGGCGATAGATTCCCGTCAACGGTGGCTACAACGAGAGATAATTCGTTGTTAACATTCGGTGATTTATTAATCACTTATAGAGTTGATCGCTAATACCAAGGGTACTCGGAAAGAAAAAATAAAATGAAATAAAAATAGAAATTGATAAGTATGGTTGGGGGAGTCAAATAACATTGCATATCATGTGCATCACCCCACTTACTAAGCTTCGGCTCATCCCGTTATTATTTTTATGTTGTGACGGGAAAAGACAAAGTAGTACGGATGTGGCCGGTTCCTCCTAAGAGACTCATGTGTGACACGGTAGGTTGGAACTTGTTTTGTCCGTAATTTAGGAGCAAGGAGTCCCGAGAAATTAAATGTTATCTATAAAACTTTGCTACTGCATCCATTTATGTTATGTAAATTTTATTATATGCGGTTCTATATGTGGTGTATTATTAATATCTTACGTATGTCGTATGAGGACTAATTAGGGTTAAGTCATGTTAACGTGATGCGCCTCGCCTAGTTACTCCTATTTGGGTAATAGAGAGTGAACCGGGTGGAGGCATTATAGAATAGTCTAATGGCTATTACTATAAGAAAAATGGGTGAAGTTGTTGTTGTCAAGAAAGAAATAAAGTTAGAGAATCAAGCGAGAGATTGTTATTTTTGTCGAATTAAAGACCAATGCAAACAATGATGGAGATGTGAACAAAGAGATGTCATGGATTGAAGTCCGTAGATTTCGAACCAAAGCAACTTACAATGAGGGAGACTTAGTATAGGTGAAAATCAATAAGAAACAAGCTTCCAAAGGTAGGTTTATTAAGCTTGATGACATAGAAGGTCCATTTCGAGTTACAAAGAGAATTGACGAACACACATAAAATAGACCTACCTAGAGATTACTTAGTCTTAGCTACATTCAATAAGTCGGACCTTCCACTATACTTTAGAAACGAAGATGAAGACCAAGACATCGAGGTCACGTCTTTTTCAATCTGGATAGGATGATGTAGGAGCATCTCTCTCCACTATGGCCGAAAGTTTCCATACTATGGTGGCTGAAACTTTTAGCTAATTATTCTATCTTTATTCTTTAGTTTTTTATTTATTTGGATTGGATATTATTTATTTGGGTCATTTTTAATTATCTACACGTGGGCTAATTAATTATTCCTTATGGGTCTTGGATTCTTATTTATTTAGGGATATGGCTGAATGTATGGTACGGATGGGTGAGTGGATTCTTGTGTTATAAATCATTATTTGTTTAGGAGTCATTACTTGATAATGAGTTCATGTAATATATGGATCTATATTTAATTGAGTTAACTTAACTAAATCATAATTAAATGCGAATTTAAGTCTAAGTTTATTAGGGAGTAAGGGAAATCGACCTAGGTGATAAAGCTCAACCCTAGCTGCATGTTTTAGAGATTTTACAAAGTGAGTATTTGCATGTCTTATTTTTCAAATAGTTAATAAACTTTTGAATGAAAAAGTAGAGATTTTTCTCTACAACTTCTTTGCATATTTCCTTTGATTCGATTGGTCGGGACATCGTAACATACATCCTTAGAGTGATGAACAAAGATGGGCTCCAAATTAACAATTATATCAATTGGAGTCTTAAAAAAAATATATCTTATAAGTACTCTCTAAATTATCTTTGGATAGTGGAATATTTTCAAGAGCTAGACATTGAAGCTTGCACTTTTATTTGTTTGATTGCTTGAATTGAAAATTGACTTGAATTCCAAGAATGAAAATCTTTTAATAATTATTAATTATTTTAATAAAAAAATTGATTACTAATTTTTTTAGTTTTTTTTAAAAAAAATATTCGGATTTTTTAAAGTTATTTATTAATAATTATTATAAAATTAAAACAAATTCCTTAGATTTGTTTTTAAAAACTTTTTATCTATTAATAATTTTTATCAAATCATTAAAAAAATGAAAAAAAAATTATAATGACAATTTTTTCAATGTTTACTGATTTTATAATAATTATTTATAAAGAAAAAATTTATAAAAAAATCTAAAGAAATTCTTAATGATTTTATACTTGATTATTAATTATTTTAATAAAAAAATAATAATAATTTTAAAGAAAAACTTTCAAAATTTTTCCATTATTATCTTTTTTAGAAAAAAAAATTCTTTTAGACTTCTTTTAATTTCTTTATTAATAATTATTATAAAATCAATAAAAATTGGAAAAAAATCATTAGATTTTTTAAAAATCGTTATTAATAATTATTATAAATTGAAAAAAATTGAAAAAACATCTTTATGTTTTTTTTTAATTTGCTTTTGAATGTTTTTAATTTTTAATTATTTTAACTTAAAAAAGATTAAAAATAAAACTATATTTGTATCTTTAAGTTCACACATATTGCTACTGGATTGGTTAAACGTTAGCTAACTAATGAAAATTGATCAATCTAACGTAAAAAGTTAGCATATAAACTATTTTATATCAACATCTAATAATATAAAATTTGTTTTGAATAATATTTGAGTACGAGGACTAAAAAGAAGTTTTCTAAATAGTATAAGAATAGGAGGCGTATTTAACCTATTTTTAATATATCAATGTTTTTCTTAAACTAAACTTTTACTGTCAAAAGAATTGTTTTATACTACAAATTGGTCCTTATAGAACATAACCAATTAGCAAAAGCAGGTGTTCAAATTTTATATGAAAAACAAATAAATAAATAAAACAACACGCTTGGATAATTGGTTAAAAAAATATAAAACAAATTAAAACAAATCATGACAACGTATGGTTAATGGATTAGTTTCACTGTAAAAGTGAACAAAATCAACTCTAGGTTAGTGTCAGTTTATACTAATATTTTAATATATATCGGTTACCAGCCAATTATAACTCTTCGTTAATGGACATTATTACCTATAAAGAAATTAGTGATACGTATACACGCTTACATTGGAGACAATATTAAATAAATAAATAAAATGTTTAATTATAAAAGATGTATAAATAAACTCTCATTCTATATAGTTATCCTATTTTCTATAAAACAACGACGGGTTGAATTTTCCTAAGGCAATTTTATCTTCACAATCACTAAACCACCTTTATATATATATATGGAAGATGAAGGAAATATGTTTTTAACTCCAATAGTAATAATAGGAGACATGTTGATGTGTCACACAAACATTTGAATTATATATATATCACAATTGACAACCCAAAAATAAATAAGGAGCATTATGGTCTACTCATTTACCCCCTTGCATGCATGCATCTCTTTCAATAAAGTCATGTTTAAGAAATTTCAAAGTTTAATGCTTACTATTTTATCTTTCATTCAGAGAGGAAAAAAAAAGGAGTTGAGAAATTTTAAAATACTCATAGAATAACTAATAACATTTATTTTATGAACATATTCTGATGGTACAAAAAAAAATTACATCTAAACTTACTAAAAGTAATAAATAATTCCGCCTAAACTAATTTTTTTTTTTTTAATTCTCTTGTATTTCTCTTTCTTCTACATGTCTATCTCTCTGTTATGAAAAGTATTATTAGTTACTCCATGAGTAACAAAATTTATAGAATAGCTTAATAGTTGTCTTTATCAAAAATTGATAAATTGAGGTTGAATTACAGCGATAAAAATGGTTAGTCCCTAATGTTTAGCACATAAATTATTCAGAGGAAAAAAGGGGACCTCGCAATAACCTTATAGAGACAGACTCAAAACATTTTGCAATTTGCAAATTAAGGATGAATAACTTGCCTAATCTATGCGTACCCTTTGCAATTTTCATTGCTCATGTCAGCATAAAACCTACCATAGTCTCAAAGAGGACAATCTAATGGTTAGAACTGAAAATTCACTTGGAGGTATCATGTTCAATTGTTTAAACAAGAAAGGGTGGAATAGGATTTAGAAACAAGGAAGAAATATCCCGTTATGTAAACCCAAAACCCATTAGACCTCCCTTGAACCAAGAGGAAAAAAAAAAAAAAAAAATTGAACCTTACTGCCTCATTGCCCTCGTTGTCCTTGGATCGATGCAATTGCATACGCTATAAAATACAAGGTTAATTGCACATACCACATCAAAATTTGGTGAATCTCTCACAAGTAACGTTGAGTCCTGATAATTAGAACTCAGAACAGTCTTCTAAGAATGAAAACCAGTCTTTTATCTTTCATAGAATGTCAAGAATGTTTACTTCAAAATTCCCCAAATAGAGAGTCAGTACTCCTCGAGAAGGCAAATCAAATGTCCGGTTCAAAACTCACTAGCTTTTCATCAATTGCTATATATTTTAGTATTTCAATTACTGTGCATTATCAAAATTCACCTGTTCTATTCTGAAAAGCTGAACAGGTGAGCTTCAGATTGAGCTAGCAAAACCATACTGAATGTTGGGACAGACTCTGTCATCTTATAACTTGTACAGGACACACTGATCTTATAGCCTTGAGGTAGAAGCCCCAATTTGCACTTCTTTCAGAGATAGCTTGTTGACCAAATGGGTGGTGTTCTACAAATTCCTGCACATTATCAGCTGCTGCCAATTCTTCCAGATAAACCCTTAGATCACCTCCAGCACCTGCCATGAATCGGATTCATTTCTTCATAATTTTCCTAATGTTTCTGCAACTTACATATATGATAAACTGCACATTTCCATTTTCATCATTAAATTTCTGGCTAACCTTAAGACATTTAAATCTAGGGGATTAGGCAATTCACAAAAGGCAGAATTAGCATAGTCTAAGTCAGGATATCTACTGGGTTGTCAGTATGACCCTCATCCAACATAAATCAGAAACAGCAGTTGAAGAATATTTGCATGGCAGTGTGAAAGTGTTTCTTACCTAAAGAATTATCATTCCTATTCTGAAAGTGGTATGGATAAGGGAAGATTGCAGTATGCGCCTACAAGTGCATTTTATGTCCAAAACAAGCATTAGATCATCAGATCAAAAAACAGTATAAAAAATAATATAACCAGCCTAAAAGAAGAAAACATAATTACATATACTTACAGGATTAAGCAACGCTTTGTAAGGAGAATCATCCAATAACAGTGTATTCGATTCACTATAATCTCCCTTATCCCATGGAAGTTCAGCATCGTCTTTTTCCCAAAGTCCCCTCAGGTCCTTAAAGACCAAGGGTTTATGCTTGTTTTCAAGAGTATGGAACTGTGTTGGAGTGCATTTGGATAGGTCCTAATAGAAATGTGAGATAAGCATCTTAAGGATCTGTATATGCATCAACTGTGGGGTGACTTTGAAAGATACGATAACTAGTTGAGTATAATTTTGTTACTACTCATCCCTATCCTAAGATAGTTTGCAGAACCATACCATCAAATGCATACTAGAAGACATTCAAATCGTCCAATAATAAGAATAATTTCCCTTGTCTATTTAAAAAACCAGACACTTAGGCATTGACAAACTAAGCCTAATTGAATAGGGAAACTAAAATAATTTGAAAACAAAAGAAGCTTGAAACAGGGAAGCGAAAACATATTTTCTTATGCAAGCATCCAACTTGCAGATTGTCCTGCAGACTTTAACATCAAGGCCTGGACAAAATGGAAATACAAAGACTGAAAAAAGTGCTTACCCAACAAAACAGCAACTTGTTCTTCATATCTCCCATCACAAACTCAATCACTCTATCAACATTCTCCCTGCAAAAAATTAAATGTCTAGCGGTCAGCAGTAACTCAGCAAAAATATTTCCCAGTGTATCAAGGAAAAAGACAGATGTTTATCGTATGAACAAAATCAACAAATTTGATTCCACATTAACAAGAGAGATTCAATTAGCATAAGTAGGCAGAAGAGTACTTATTTCTTGAGGACCAAATGCCCACTTCAAATCTCTCAAAGCAGAACTTTAGAAAATCAAAGCAAAAGGGTCTTCTAAAAACTGATACAAAGAAGCAAGCCAGTTAGATTTGATTAATTGGATCCCAAAAGCATATAAGTAAATGCTATTAAGGTTTCAATCCTGACCTGCTCTTTTTGCAATCTTTATGTCTGCTTTACAGCCCTTTGGAGGAGATGATACCATATCCACAAGCACCCCATTTAAATCAAGAATAAGAAGTTTTTTTCTCAAAAGACAAATGGGCGTTCTTACCAGTAAGCGAGATAAAGTCTCAGAGGGAACATTCTCTTTGTCACAAATAGCAAGAGAAACAAGTTTTGCTTCAACATTATCCGATAAAAGAGCTGCTTCCCTCTTTCTTTCATCTGATAAAGATACAGTTGACACATAATTCAAACTATAAGTACTTGGCAAGCTACCTTCCTCAGCCTGTTTATGAGCTTGATCACTATCCTGCTGATCATTTCTTCTCCTGTTTCTTCGTCTTGCTTTTCTTTTTTGCAAAGGTGGTACTTCTGGATCCTCCTTGGTTGTTTCCGTGCCTTTGTTTGCAAGTTTTATTTCACCCCTATCTGATAAAAAAACCACTTCTCTGTTTCTTTCATCTGATAAACATACAGTTGACACATTATTCAAATTATCATTGCTTGGCAAGCCACATTCCTCATCCTGCTTATGAGCTGGTTCACTATCCCGTTGATTGTTTATCCTCCGGTTGCTTTGTCTTGCTTTTCTTTTAGGCAAAGAAGGTACTTCTAGAGCCTCCTTGGTTGTTTCCCTGCCCTTGTTCTCAAGTTTAGTTTCACCATTATCTGATAAAAAAACTACTTCTCTGTTTCTTTCATCTGATATACATACAGTTGACACATTTTTCAAATTATAGGTACTCAGCAAGCCACCTTCCTCAGCCTGCTTATGAGATTGATCACTATCCTGTTGATTATTTCTCCTTTTTCTTCGTCTTGCTTTTCTTTTTTGCAAAGAAGGTATTTCTGGAGCTTTCTTCATTGTTTCCATGCCCTTGTTCACAAGTTTTGTTTCACAATTATCTGCTAAACAAACCAGTTCCTTGTTCTTTTCATCTGATAAACATACAGTTGACACATTATTCAAATTATATGTACTTGGCAAGCCACCTTCCTCAGACTGCTTATGAGCTGGATCACTATCCTGTCGACTATTTCTCTTTCTTTTTTTCTTGCTTTTCTTTTTTGCAAAGAAGGTACTTCTGGAACCTCCTTGGTTGTTTCCATGACCTTGTTCAGAAGTTTTGTTTCACCATTATCTGATAAAAAAACTACTTCTCTGTTTCTTTCATCAGATAAACATACAGTTGACACATTATTCAAATTATAAGTAGTTGGTAAGCCACCTTCCTCAGATTGCTTACGAGCTGGATCACTATCCTTTTGATCACTTTTCCTCCTATTTCTTTGTCTTGCTTTTCTTTTTTGCAAAGAAGGTACTTCTGGAGCTTCCTTAGTTGTTTCCATGGCCTTGTTCACTACTCTCAGAAATGAATGCTAAAAAGGATGTTATCTTGTATTTTGCCTTCAGAGATTAGATACAATTAGTATGTTAAAACCCTTGGTATTTTTGAATGATGATCATTTTTCCACTATTTGCCATAACTTTATTAGCTTCCCCTTATCCTATTGCTCCCTGTATCATTTCTCTTTTCAGTAGACTCCTGCAAGTGTGGAAATAGAATATGAAAATGAGTTTAAAGTGAATTGAAGAAAATTTCCAATAATACACACAAGTATTGCATAACTTTTAACCCTTCTTTGTATCTGACGTTTTCCGGATTATTTCTTGTTTGTATGCTTTTGCAATAGGGTGAGCTCCTACTTTATGCCTTTTTAATAATGAAATCTCAATTATCAAAATTTATATGTATATCTATTGAGTATCTTGTACTCCTCATCATATATATGATGCAGTAGGAAGACAAACGAGAACATTACACAGGGTTTCTGGATGATTCTTGAAATCAGAGTTTCAGGCATGAATTGTCCAACATATCTTCTATATATGAGCCTTGTAGACATCCCTTCTAAAGGACTTATACTTGCCTAGCATCACCTATCATCAATCAAGTATATTATGTGGATTCTCACCTTTTCAGTACTCGAGCACACTTTAAAATTATACCATTTATAGGAATATTGGCTGCAAAAAGAGAAAGCAAAAGGCAAAACAACTGCCTTCAAGTACTTTAATGAAGTGATCAAAGTTTTATATTTTCCCTTTAATTAGATGTGTTTATACTACCTAATAGCTCATCCAGGGTTTAAAGCAAGCAACAATCCAACTGCATGAGCCTTTGAAGCAATACGCACTAAGTATCAAACATTGTATATCAGGTTATCTTGAAACTTCCACAAATAAATCCAAAAATCAGCAATAAAACTACCAAGTTCTATATCCAGTTAATCAATTTACCTACTTTATCAAACAAAATGCACACTAATAGAACGAGAACCAATTCTTTTACTTTGAATACACTAGAATTCTGCATTAAAGAGGGAAAAAAAAAGGAAGAGAAAGATTAGATAAAGGCAGACCACACTGTAACAAGCTAAAGGTAGGACATGTAGTCAGTGAAAGTGAATATGTAAGATGGATTTGTTTTGTGTAACATAGACTAATGGCTCTCTAATAATCACAATAACTAACAAAATGAAGGCAAAAAAAGAAAATCAATTGTTTGAACGAAAATATGTTCAATTGAAAAGGAAAATGGATTTTCATATTGCTAACCCCATATAGAAAATAAAATAGAATACACTGTCGGTTGTGAGTGATGGTAATGTTTTCTAAAATGAACCAATATAGACTATGAACTAGAAGCCTTAGGAAACATAAATACAGCACCATCAGGCCTTAAAATTCAGCACTCATTGCAACACAAAGCCAAAAAGTTTCAGACTTTTCCAATTCCCATGCATATATATAAACAGCTATTCAGAGGGGGAAAAAATGATTTTGCAAGATCGAAACTCACAGAAATCCCACAAAACTGGGGAAAAACAGAGACAAAAACCAACGCCACCCATAAATCCAGCACCGCACAACTGGAGTAACAAGCATATATCATGGTAAGCATCCTATATAGAAAACTCAAAAGAAACTAACAAAAAGTAAACAGATTAAATAATTACCTCAAGCATGCAAGAACATTCAAAGAAATCTATGCAAGGAAACAGAATATTGAATTCCTTTGACAGGTCTATTACAGTATGAGAAAATAAAGCCAGGGGAGAGCTGAGAGCTTTGCAATGTTAGGTTTTGAGAAAGGAGGCGCTAGTCTATGTGGGTATTTCAAAAAGAAAAGGAAACAAACGGAGCCCAAACGGGGAAAAGGATGGAAAGACACAAAAGCTGCGTTTTTCTCGGTAACTACAATTCAGTACCCAATCTATATAGTTAATAAAAAATTACTCCCCAATCTTTAAACTCTTCCAAAACAGTTTCCTACACTTCCTAGGGTCCAACAAGTTCGTCCCCATAAATTTCCTTAGCATAAAATAAAATTTGATAAACTATTTTTTTATGAAAAATTGCTATGATATTATATTTCAAAATACATGAACATTTTTATGTTGTTAATTGACAAATAAGTAACATCTTTTTGCCTTTTTTTAATTATAACTTCTTCATCTTTGAATCCATATTTTACATATAGAATAATATAACTGTTGGATTAATATTGATATATGTATAAATTTTAATTTTAAATATAAATATAATAATAGATAAATTGATATAGTAGATACATTAAACTTTTTGTCATTTTTGCCTTCATAAAAAATGATGAGTATAATAGAAAAAAGATGGAAATAATAATATCAAAAGTAATTTTAATTGAAATGCAAATTCTTTCTATGAAGTCGATCATTATGATATGTATTATATGGGAAAATTTTATTTCTTTGTAAAAAAAGAAAGAGTCAAAATGGAAAAAATATGAAATAGATGTAATTTATCTTGTGATTTAACAAAACAAAATTTTCAATTTATGTTTATTTTTAGTTCGTATACTTGAAATATAATGTTATAACATTATATACAATAGTGATTTTTAGAAATTCAATTTTATATAAATTTTACAATCACTTTTTATAATTATATGATGTTGTAAATTGATTTATGGATGAACATATGTTAAATAAAAGAAAACTTGGGGAAAAATCAGCAGAGTTTTAAAGGTTAGAGACTGATCTAATAGTGAGTATATAAGTTGAGGACTGATTTGTATCTCCCTTTTTTTTACTTGTGTTCTTGTTTATTTGGACTCTCACTTAGACGAATCAAAGTCTCGGCATTTTGTTTTAGAAAGTTGAAACGATTCCGTTTAACCTCTTAAGAGAGAAGCTGTTTGGTAGATTTAGAGTGTTTTCTCTTAGGAGGGATGGCAATTTCCCGACCCACCCTATACCCAATGTCATCCGATCTAATTGGACCGGGTTGTTAGTCAATTTTACTATGATTAAATTGGATCGATTAAGTAAATCACTAGAAGAATTAGGACAAATAAATAATAAATTATTGTTCATTTGTCTATTTTTTAGAGGGTGGCAGTTTTGTGATTTTTTATAATGACATTTTTCATAATTTTTTTTTTATAGTTTTTAGGCATTCATTATCAAATTTTACATTTCATTCCTTTTTAGTCCCTTATATTTTCAAAATGTATTTTTAAATCTTCATATTTTAAAAAATACTTTGGCATCTCATATTTTTAACTTATTCCATTTTTGTCTCATATTTTTTCAAAATATATTTTTTGTTCCTAATATTCTTAAAAAAATATTTTTGGCCTCTTATATTTTTAAATTATTAGAATAAACACATATATCGGATTATATTTTTTTATTGATTAAAATTAATCTCTTAAATTTGTCATTTATTATAAAATTCTCATCAAATTATTTTTTTATTTTTTATGAATTTTATCTGTAAATAAATATAATTTATCTTTCTCTGTATGAATTTGTAATATGTTTTTTTAATAAATAATAGAATTCACGTGTTTTTTTATCTTATTCTTGATATAATCAATTTTTTTGAAATAAAATTTTAAATTATTTTTATTGCACTATATTAACTTTATTATATTTCTTACAACTTAAGTTATTTTAAACATATTTTTTAATTCATACATAGTATGATAATGATTTACACAAAAATGTATTAAGATCATTGATTTTATTAAAAATTAATTTTTCATCTACACATATAATACCAACTATTTTCTATTAATTATTTTTATTATAAAAATTCTCATCAAATTAATTTTTTTATTTTTTATGAAATTTCTTTTGTTAATAAATATAATTTATCTTTTTTATGTGTATGAATTTGTAATATTTTTTTAATAAATAATAGAATTCTCTTGTTTTTTTACCTTATTCTTGATATAATCAATTTTTTTGGAATAAAATTTTAAATTGTTTTTATTGCACTCTACTAACTTTAATATATTTCTTACAACTTAAGTTTTTTTAAACATATTTTTTAATTTGTACATAGTATGATAATGATGTATAAAAAAATATATTGAGGTCATTGATTTTATTAAAAATTAATTTTTCATCTACACATATAATACCAACTATTTCCTATTAATTATTTTTAATATTCTAAATTTAATTTATTTTAAATAAAATAATATTTTAAAAGAACCACTTAATAATTCAAATACGTGTTCTTATACCTAATATTATTGATTATTTTTGTGTGTGTGTATGTGTGCATATCGAATTTACATATTTTTAAAAAGTTTAAAAAGATTCATTAGTTAATTTTTATACAAATTTTTATATTGATTGTTGATATATTTCTTTGATGGCGTCTTATGAAAAAAATGTTAAGATATTTTTAAAAATTTTATATTTATATTATTGTAGGTTTTTATCTAAGAACAAATGAATTAAAAAAAAATTGTGTTTTCTAATAACAAATCTATGAAAAACATAAAAAGGACAAATGAAATACAAAATTTGATTAAAAATAATTAAATTAAATTAAATATTTATTTTTATTTTTAATTTAACATATAGTAGTAGAAAAAAATTAAAAGAACTGAGATATTTATTATTTATTTACAATTGTTTTAGACTTTAATTCACTATTTATTGTGTTGTTTGATTTTTCACCCCCTAGCTTTTCGTTAATTTCTCTTTTGCCACTCAATGGATTTGAGAAACTCCATTTGTACCTTTGACTAATTCTCGTTTTAATTTTCTTTTTGAGCCTTCTTGGGTCATTTCCTTCTTTTTTTCAGATTAAGCATTTAATGCTCATGTCTTCTTTTAATGTTTTTTTCTTTTTCTTATTTTCAGCAAGGAAGGCAAAGCCACTTACTATTTAAGAGTGATTATAAATTAGTCTCTCTTTCTTTGAGAAATAAATTTATTAGTCCCGCTGATTTAAAAACTATTTTTTTTATCCTTTTTTCTATTTCAATTATTTTTTTTTCAAGAAATAGAGAAAGAATAAAAAAATAAGTAAAAATATGAAAAAATATATATATTTTTTATATAAAAAAAATTATCCATGGTCAACACTATTTTGAAACCAAAAGAATTAATTAATTCATTTCTCAAAACGAGATGAACCAATTTATAATTTAATTTCTAATTCAAGAATCTCTTTCATCATAGATTAAGAAGTAAAATCTAGGGGAACCAATTTTGTAGTAGTTTTTATTTCAATTTATTGACTTTAATATATTCTATATAACTTAGATAGTTTTGTTTTTTAAATGTTTGTTTATACTATATACTACGAATCTATTAAGAATAATATATATATATATATATATATGACTCCCTTCAATTCAAAAACTAACACTATAAAAAAAAAAAAGAAGAAGCAATTATCAACGGTTTAAAATCATCCAAAAAAGCTTTTTTATTAAGTGATTAAAGATGATTTTTTAAGATCATAGTTAATTTTGCAACGACAAACCCATCGCTAAAAGCGAAAAAAACCATCACAAAACTTGGACAAATCAGCGACAATTTTCATAAATCGACGCCAAATCCGTCGCTAAATTTGGACAATTTAGCATCCATTTTTCAAATCTTTGTTAAAACCATTGTAAATTATCAACAATTTATGATGGATTTTTATGACGGTTTGTTATAACCGATGCTAAATATAAATTTAACTATGGTTTAAATTTGTATTAATTTTTTTTCAATTATTTATTTCGTCGCTTAGAAGAAAAGTTTAATATATTCCAGCTTAAAAACTAAAATAATGCTATAAATAAGATTTTTAAATACCACAAAACCATTATAATATATAAAATTTAATAAAATGAAATATATTAAAACATCAAATTATTCAATTATTTTAAAGTTTGTTAATTTCTCAAAAAAAAAAAAAAAAAAAAAAAAAAAGCTAAGAGTGATCGGTAGGGTCATTAGTCGAAGGATTGGTGGATGAACTGCCTATCTACATATTCGGCAACATCTATTGCATCATCACATACTACTCTCGAAAAATATACTATTGCTATTCATTTGTAGTAGCTAAGAGCGATATAATAGTTCCCTCAAGTTTCTTGATCTTTTTTGCTTGTCTAGAATTATGAGCTTTTATTTCCTTTCGTTGCACCTCAATATTGACATGGAACTGCGATGTGGTGGAACTAGAGGATGTACCGACATTAGAGTAATAGTGAGAGTCTTGTGACTCGAGTCCATACATCTTCTACCTTTTATTATCTCCTCATTCAATGGCCTTCTTAAAATCTCGTTCATGTCATTATTAGGTGATAAAGTACCCTACGTCTACTTGGTTAGCAATAACCTCCTCAAATATTTTTTCAATGGTCTCCTATATAATTGCATAAATTTAAATATTAAATAATTATCTCAATAAATTATATAAAAGGGACATATGTATGACATAACCTTATAAATTAATTACTTACTGCGAGAATTGTTGCTCACCGATCGATGAATATGTACTGATCATCAATCTTCTTCTTGTGAGTCCTAAAAAAAAACCACGTGAGCATTGGGTTTGTTATCACTCAAATTTTTACCTTTTTTTTTTTATTTTTACCTCTATTTTTATTGCAAAATACCAAATAAAAAAATAAAAATGAAAATGAAAAAAAAATTGAAATGAGCGACAAAGAAGTGAAAGAATGGTAAACAAAACAAAATGCCAAGTATAAAGAAAAAAATCAATTAGAACAATTAGCTCATGATTAATTCTAAAAAAAAAAAGGGGGAGCTAATTGAAAAAAAAATGAAAGGTTTGAAAGTAATAAAAAGTGAAATTAAGAGCCTAATTAAAAAATAAAAAATTATGTCATTTAATTAAAGTAAAGAGGAGCACGATTAGAAAAAATTAAAAAAAAAATCCCTATTAATATAAATTTAAGGGCTCCTTCAAAAGAAATAAAAATATTAAATTCGAATTGATGGATGGTAGAGGATTGGGGATCAAAACAAACTTTGCCATACAAAAAACCCTACATATAAAATGACACCTCTCCCACGTTTTTAGAGGGAGACACTGTTCATCTCTCCCATTTTTTAAACGCTTCCAGCCGCCTCTCCCTACACCTCACAAACCCACACAAACTGACTTCTATGGCCCCCCACAAGCTGACCTCTGCCTCCAGCTCTCACCCACGCCTCACACCCCACAACCAGCTGCACTCTACGCCCAAGCACAACCCCCGTAGCTCCTGCCCTAGGCCCTTCCTCTCGTGCGCATGCCTACGGTCCTCCTCCTCGCGCGTGCCAAGCAACCTCCAACCTCCCCGTGCATCACAGGCCTGTGCCAACGGCCCATTGCCCAGGCACGCCTCATAACTCTCACTCATCATAGGCCAGCATCAACGTCCCACTGCCTAAGCATGCCACAGCCAGCTCGCGCACCACAGGCCTGCCACAGCCCTCCCTCTTGCGCCTTTGCTCGCGTGCCACAAGCCTTACCTGCGCGCTCCCTTGCACCCCCTTGCTCGCAGGCCAGGCAGCCCGAAGCAGGCCAGTCACATTTACAACAGGGCAAGCAGCCCACTGCAGGCCAACCAGGCACACCCGTGCGCCAAGCGCAACTTCACAGCAGCCTCCTCGCGCGCCAGACACACCTACGCCAACCAACCAGCTGGACCACTAGCAAGTTTTGGACTCCCTTTTTAGTCTTTTTCCAGTCGCTCTAAAACAAAAGAGAACAAACAAACAAAAAGAAAATCAAATGGTTAAGTTATTAATAAGGAAGCATTTGTTTTTAAAAATTAAATCTTCACATTTAGTAAGCCTTGGAAAAATTGGTTCATGGAAATGATTTATAGTCAATTGAAAACATCCTTTAAATTTTAGAAAATGACTTTTTTTTATTTATAAATGCATAAAATCCTGACAACCATCACATGCAAACTCTCAATTGGATCCACTTCAATAAACAAGTTCATATACATAAAAGTAAGTTGAAAAACATTCTCTAAAAAAAGTCTTTAACTAACGCACTTTAACTTTGCGTGGATTTGTAATTTGAATTTACTTTAATAAAATCTTCCTTTTTATTATGTATTAATCTTGTATGGATTTATAATTTGGATTTACTTCAATAAAAACTTCCTTTTATTATGTACTAATCTTATGTGGATTTGTATTTAGATTTACTTTAATTTGTAGTTAATATTTATGGTTTTTTTTTTCAAAAATTCTGATATCAAAATACTAGATCTTTTACGCTCATATAAAATATATTAGATAGCTTTCATCTTCTATGCTCATATAAAATAGGAATTTACTAGGCTCTGTTTGTTTGACGAAAAACAATTTTCAATAGGAAAACTAATTCGAGGAAGCTATTTTTCGAGAAATTGTTTTTCAAAAAAATATTTTTCGACGTTTGGTAGTTGAATGAAAAAAGCTGTTAAAAAACATTTTTCGGCGTTTGTTTGATATAGAAAATAAAAATACAAAAACAGTATCGTAGTTGTTGTATCAACGAGTTTTGAAAGAATTTCAATAAAGCATATTGACAATCTCCTAAACTTAAATTAATAAATAATAATGTGATATTTGTAGAATTAATTTCAACAAGGCATACAAAAAATATTTGAACTTTTTTTAACATGTTCCTATCGGTATTTTTTAGTAGAATTAATTTAAATAACACTACTTGTATTTTTTTAAAAAAAATTGATGAGATAAATTTTAATATAATTAAAGGATAAAAATTGGATTTGACATTTTTTAATATGACAACTAAAACATAAAAAATATAATATAATTAGTTATAAAAAAAAGGTCATATAATAAAATTATAATGAAAAGCTTGGTTGGATAGATAAAATAAAAAGCTCTTTTCATTCTATCAATCTATCTCTTAAGCCATACATTGAGTCAAGAAGTAAAACATAAGTAAATACATTGATGATGCTTTGAAATCACGAGTCACTTTGTATAACATAATCATTCCACATATCTAATACAATGATATCTCTTTTTGCTAACCATTCCATAATCTCTTCCCTTTCCTTTCTTTGACTTAAACGAGTTCTATCCATAATCATGGATTGTCGTGATGTGGTAATTTCTTCCATAACATAATCATTAGGGTCAACTCCTATTATATGATTATGAAGGATGCAACTTGCAAGCACAATATTCACTTGAGTTTTGTAGGACTAAAATGGTCGAGCATCAATACACCGAAATCTTTTCTTTAGTATGTCGAAACCATGTTCAATTGTTGTTCACAAGGAAGAATGACGAAGATTAAATAACTCCTTTGCATTCTCGGGTGGATGCTTAGTAAACTCGTTTAAATGGTATCGAACACCATGATATGGAGTTATCACTCCATTTTGGGTTCCGTAACTAACATCATTAAGATAATATTTACCTATAAATTTTATGAAATATACCATCAATAAATATGTGTATACATGCATAACTATATGTGTAGACAATGTACGTTAAAGATTTTATTCAATACCTTCTAGAATCTTAAGTCTTAAGGATCGTGATAATGCATCGGTTAAGACACGAGAATCATGTGCACTTCCTTCCCAACTAACTAAAATATAAGCAAATTTTAATCCAAAATTGATGGTCGCCAATACATTCTATGTTGTTACGCTCTTTCTATCACAAAACTTTCCTTGCAGTTCCACAAGTACACTTGCTTGGAATATGAGTACCATCAAGTGCTCCAATGCAATCCTAAATAAAAAATTAATAGTTATGAAAATCTAATTTTTAATGAAACTACTTAAATTAAGATTATTTTTTTTACAAATAAAAGAGATAACTAACCTTAAAATATGGAGAAAATCTTTCATTGTTGGGAATTACTTCAAGTATTGAGTAAGTGGGTCTTGAATGAGATATATGTGCAATTTTAGAATTGATGCTAATACAATTCTAAAATATCTATGCACTCGTTTCAACGGATCTATAAAATTTTCCACTAATAAATCAAAATCTTGCATTATGTCCAATTATTTGTAAGAACATCAATACTTGTTCTCTAATGATCATTTTTTTAGTTGATTACAAAAGGTTGGTTGTTTTCAAAACCTCACACAATTTGTCAAATGACTTTTGTGACATACGAATTTGTGCAATACAATACCGATCACCCCGATTAAGTATACTATTTATATAGAACTCTATTATATAACTTCCATCAATTCGAGATTATCTTGGTATAGTTGTCCTATTTTCATACTCATCAACTATATGAAATGCGGTGATTGTAATTGAAGCACTCGTTGTGCCTATGAGGCGAATCAATTTTCTATCCATCTACGGACAAATTTCAAATATATTGACTATCAAATATATAAGCTATTAAACAAACAAACAAAATATTTAGAATTGCTAGGTATATAGTTTCCAAAAGATCAAATATTTCGCTTTCGGACTTGTCATCTTATACTAGTAAAAGTACAATTTAGCAAAAAATATAGGATAAGACAATACATAGGATATGCTTTCTCACTCGCTTAGTAAAGATGTATACCCGAATATGATGGTTAGGTTCCCCTCTTTTAGAAGTCACATAAAAGTATAACAAAAGCTCCTTAGAACAAAAGTGAAATGCATATATTACTAAACCGGTTTAGTTTCAAATGAACATGACACTAAAAGAATTATTCATCAAGAAAACAAGAACTCACAACGGTAGAAATGGAGTGAGAAGTACCAAGTAATATGTAACTAATATAATGCGGTTATGGTTGGTTTATGTCAAATTTCAATTCGGTATTTCGATCCATAAAATGTCCATGATTTACCATCTTTGGTGCAGCAAGACTGGCTTGTTCATTTTCCACAATAAAAGAATCAAACCACAATCGAAATATTAATGAGTAAAAATCACTAAAAACAAATTATCTAGTTAAAACTCCAATAGATCAAATCTACTCTATCTAAACCTCCTCTAATATTGCACCATGACCTTTGGATGTTTTTTCCATTTTGATTTTAAAGGTCTTCTTTAATGACAAGAAATTTTTCATTTTCATGTTTCCTTCTAATCAGCCTTATCCGGAGTTTGTTTATGTGCTACCATGGCTCATCTAATGATGACAAAAAGGCATTGAGTTTTTTATCTCATCATTCTTTTTGTTATTTTCACTTGTCATTGTGCATATAAGCATGCGTTAATACTACTCGTTAATTTCATTACTCGGTAATAACCAACATTCAACATTTTTACGCGTAAACAAACCATGCTCTATTGCAACATTTTCTTTTAAAGTTAGGAATAAGCAAGTCATACATGAATGATTGGAATTCAAGGCAAGCCAAAAATTGTGTCTCTTTATGAAAGGAAACCAATCGTCCATAAAAAACAAAACAACAAATCTCTCCACATGGCACCTCTTCCTCTAGCCCAAAATAGAGACCCTAATCCATGAGACAAGAAATGAAGACCCAATCAGTTTAATAATTGCATAAAAAATGGTAAGAAAAATACAACTAATAGACCCAATTAGCAATTTAAAACACAAAAAGGATTGACTCGACTCGATGCCTCCCAAATCCAATTGTTTACATGGCATAAATTCAATGGAAATCACAAATTCTCACACGAATTCATGAACATAGACATCAAAATCAGTACATTAAATGAGAACAAATCATTGGTAGCATGGTAAGCTCGAATGAATGAAATTGAGCACAAACGAAGGAGATGCCGCATTCTCCTTCTACATGTTCTGTTTTTAGTTAACTATCAACACTCAAATTTTTACATCATGCAATGAACACCCAATTTATTGGCAATTATCAAAGTGCATTAAAACGCGTTCTAATCCACCCTATAAAAAAAAAAAAATCAAGCCTTCTTCTGTCTCCGACCTTCTTTCTCCTCCCTCCAAATTTAATTATCTAGTTGTAACACACATAAAGTTCGGAGACTATTCCATACAAACATAGAACTTAAGAGCATAAAGTGAAACAAATAAGAAATATTGCCAAACAAATCAATTAAAATTTTTGGGAAAAAAACACCCAAAAAAAAAAAAAAAAACAAAACACACTATAGTGAAATTGGGCTTTGGCTATGTGAAACCATAATTAGTCTTAGTTTCTTTAATCATCAACGAGTTATTGGAGACTAAATCGGTGCAAAAATTTGGTGCAAATCTACCATTTAAAGCATCCACTTGTCATATGAAAGAGTGCGGGAAAATGTAATCCATTTTTCAAACTTCCAGCATGCACTTGCGGGCCTCAAACACATAAAGGCATTAAAAGCACAAATGTCCTAACAGTCTAATTTCTAATGAAAATTTAAAATGTAATTAGTTGAGATTTGACGGACCAAATACTTTACCTATAAAGGCATTAAAAGCACTAATGTCCTAACGAGTCTAATTTCTAGTGAAAATTTAAAATCTTAACCGGATGAGATTTGACATACCAAATACTTTGCCTAATAATAATAATAATAATAATAATTTCAGAACTCTTATTTAAGAAATTAAAAGAAGAAAATCATCCTGGACAATATGAAAAACAAGTGAGGAAGTGACAAACAAGAGATACAAAAAACATAGCAACAATTTAAAGAGTAACAAAAGAAAGTGACATACCCATAAGGAGGAAAACACACAAATAAACAAATTAGACAATATTACATAAAAAATCAGATTTGAAGGAAGAAGACATACAAAAATCTTGCAAATTAGACAAAATTACTACAAGAAATCATAGCGAGATCTAATCATTATTTTGCGGGTTTTGTTTGCTCGACGATGGCAATAGCTTTGTTACGACGACGTTGGGTGGTGAAGATGTCCTTGGGTCGACTTCGAGCAACAATGAAATGGATTGGTTTGGGTGAGAATAGGGACAAACCGCTTCTGGAGCTCTAGAGAAAATGTTTTCTCGTTTTTTTTTTTTCGGGAAGTCATTTTCCAAAACTTATCTTTTAAATTTTCCTTGACTGGAAAATAAGTTCCTTTAACTTTTTTCCAACATGGCCAATACAAATATAGGAAAATGAGGAAAACAAGTTCTAGGAGATGGCTCATTTAATTATTTATTTCACTTGTCCTTTTTCTACATTTATATCTCATACATAGCAAAGAACAAAAAAATAATTTCCAGTTAAAGCACCCAAATATTTTAAAATAACTCATTTTTTAGGAAAATGTTTTTTCTGTAAAATATTTTCCTCCCAATAAATTATTTTCTGCAAACAAACGCTCCCTTAGTGTTAGTAATTACAAGGATAACGGGTCTTCTTACAATAAGATAAACCCAGCAAGAAGAATATAAATAATAAAGCCCAACTTAAAGAACCATTAGAGCCCAAGCCAACCCCACAGGTGGAGAACAGAAGACAATTTTTTGAATACTTATGGCGTAAACAATTTTAGAGTTTTGAGTGTGATTAAATTTTATTTGTTAATTGAACGCCAAAAAAAAAAAAAAAAAGAAAAAGAAAAAGAAAAAAAAAGAACTACCCTTACTCAAATTGAGGAACTAGTAGATACGTCGAGTCAGGCATGTAATGAGAACCACCAAAGATTGTTTGTTAATATGAATCAGAAATGGGCTGTTCCCGGTCTCAATTGAGCTCTAGACTAGATAGAGGTTAAGAATTTTTAATAATTGTTTAGTTGGACTTGACCTAAGTCAACCCTAAACTGGACAATTTACAACTGTTAATTAAGATTGCTTCTGGTGACCTTCAAGTCAACCCTAACACTGGGCCTATTAGAGCTGCAAATTCTTAATCTATATTTTGGTTTTGGGTTTAGACTTTCTTGAGAACCCACGGCCTGGAGTTCAGACTCACCAATTATGCCAGCCCAAAATCAATACTTGTATGGCAAACCCATTCTCTGGAAGGAAAAATTATGGCAAAAGAACTTAAATCTCATTTGCCTTGATTACCTGTATTATTTATGCACAGATTTTGGCACAAAGGTCTGACCCCATTTGCCTGAAGCATTATAGCTAGGGCATGCAATACCTTGGCTTGTAAAATTTCTGTACATCATTTATAATTCTAGATGTAATGTGATTGCAAGCTTTTCTTTCCTCAATTCGTCATGTGCATTCCACTGCTAGTCCACTTCTTGAGAACCATGGCAAATTATCATGACTGCTTGATGCCTTGTGGTCCAACATTTAATGGACCACAGACCACCGATGCTGTGGAACAACCAGGTGAGTTTCTAAGCAGCATTCTCTTTTCTCCAAAACCCATAAAGTTTTTTTTTTTTTTTTTTTCAACTATTTGGCTACACCTAGATTGTCTTTTTAGGCGCGTTTCATTAATCATACATATGTAATAACAAAAATAATATGTTCATGTAGTAATCAGATAGGTGTCATCATGCCACTTTTGGCTATAAAAAGAGATTATTAAGTACAATTTTGTACTTCCTTAATGGCAGTGGGCATGAGATGATCAAGTAAATGATCAAATCTGTGATTGATGAGTGAAAACTTTGTCACTTACATGTGCTTATATCTTCAAAGTTAAGCATGTGTGAGTTCACAGGAGGATCTCTAGTATTGTGTTCACATCATGTGTGGTATGATTACAGTACCAACCTCCTCTTTATATGATTTTGTAATCTGCACACACACACACACACACATATATATATATATATATATGTGCGCGCGCGCGCGCGTTCTAATACTGGTCATACAAGAGCAAACCACATGCTTTAGTGCTTTACTATGGTGCTTCTGATGTAACATCTGCAGAATTGCAGATTTGAATAATTAAAGAAGAAACTGGAGGATGTGGTCCTGGGGCTGCGATTTATTTTGTGAATAAAGACATTTCACTGTACTTTTTCAGGTGGAAAAAGTTAAAGAATAATCCACAAGTTGCCCTTGCAAATCTTTAAAACTCCGTCATATATAAAATCTTAAAACAACTTGTTATTAATGATATTGCCTGTAAATCCACTTTTAATTAAAGAGACACTTAGATGTATACAATTATTAATACTTGAAAAGACCGGAGAAAATATAAATTACAAATTGAAAATGAGATACATCCATCCAGTTATCTATTAACTAAATTTTAAAGGATAGGTCTAAGGACTAATGAAATTTATTTTCTTTCTTGACTTTCTTACTTCAAATCTTGGATTAAATATTTTGAGAAATTTATATTTTAAAATAAGCTAAATTAATGTTGAATGTACAAATTTAAAATCATTAAAAAAAAAAAAGAAATTAAAATTGATTGATGCTAAATTAATACAAAGATATTTCTAAACCTTGAATTAAAAAAAAAAAAATCTATGAACATGTTGATAATTTAATAAGAGTCAAACATGTAATACGAACAATCAAAGATTATAGGCGAAACACTAAGAAAAGCGGTATGATTCATCAGTTTAGAGATTTGATTTTTATCTTTAAAAAACTCATTTCTCTCCTTTATATGATATTGAACATAAATTTTTAGTGGATTCAAAGAGTCCAACACTCCAAAATCAGTGATAAAAAGTTGCGAACTTAGTTTTAATTAACTTGGAAGAAATAAAGGTATGCCTTTTTTTTTTTTCCTTCCTTCCTTTCATGTGAGACATGCGGCATCGGAAAAAGGCTATCTATTGATGATATTACTGCTAAACTGAATATTTATTTCCTGTCAATGATCCTACTCGATAATCACCAAAAACTCCACTGTAATTTCCTAAAGAGAGAAAAACAGAGAACTCTATTATATATTCATTTATGTGATTGAAGATGTTAATCGTAATTGAAATAAATTAATGTTGCCTTTTTGTGGCTCCAAGAAATGAATTCACAATATTAACATTACTAATTTAATTGCCGAGAGACCAATTAAAAAGAATGATCACAGCTTCAATGCTCCAACAAGTTAATTATGGTAATTAAGAACGTAACTGTAAGAGAGAAACACATTTTGGAGCATCCCTTTAGCAAAAGTTCAGTTCTGTTATATTACCTCTCTGGGTGATTTGTAGGTTCAATGAACCAAATCAGTCGAAGCATAAACAAAGATGCAAGCAAGAGAATGAGGTGTGAATTAATTATTGGATACACTTAGGTGGGAAGTGAACTTAACCATAAGGTATATGGCTGGGCATTTAAAGTTGAAAACTTTGGGTGCATGACAAATACTTTCCACCATGCCACGATATTGTCACCACCCCATGCCTTGTTTGAAGATGCCAAAAGTCATCAAGCAATTAAAGAAATATATAAAAACTCAGCACTCAAGCAGCTTTAATGGGATCTCCAAAAGACTGGCTTGGGGCCATTTATGAGACAAAGGAGACTACTTGCAATTATATTACTACTCAACATCCATCTACCAATGGAAGTTAAAAGAAAAAGGCGTAAGGATTCAGTTTTTACTTTCTCTTGTCTTGTGATCTTTTTCACTCAAAAGAAGAGGCGAAGGAGGTAAAGGGAAAGATTTCATGTATTTGTTGGATAGCTAAAATGAATTGTTCATTCATTCGTGAATCATGTGCAACATCCGACATGGAATAGCATAAGGTGTCCTTTAGCTACGAAAAAAATAGCAAAGCTATGAATATTACATTAATTTTACTTGGAAACAGTTCATCCAACTCTCTTCTTGTCATTTAAATTACCATTCCTCCTTATCCCACGGTGCAATGTCACTACAAAAATCAATTAAATTAGCTACGAGTCAAAAGCTCATTTCTAAAATGATCGTTGTTAAATTTTTGCAACAGGTTTTGGATCGTTGGAAATTTAGCGACGGAAAAAACCGTTGCAAGAAAAAAAAAGCTGTTGTTAAATATGGTAGTAAATCATTGGAATATTTGCGACGGTATATTAAACCCTCGGTAAGTTCGTCGCTAAATAGCAATGGACTTTGCGACAGTTTGGTGACCGTTTCAATTTTTTTTTTAGTAACGGTCTAAGTCCGTCGCTAATTGTTTAATTATAATTTTTTTTCCGACCAATAAAATTAGCTAAAATTAACAAATTTTAAATAAAAAAATCTACTAAAATATCTTAAACATAATATTTTAAAATTTCAAATGTATTATTATAAATTGTATTAAAACATCACCAAATATTGTTCAATTATTACATTAATGAAAACGAGTACAAAGTTTGCGGTTATTAAAAGAAAACGTGAAAGCTACGAGAAATGGCCGGGATCACTCGGAGGTTGGGTGGAGTCGTCTAGAGGTTGGGTGGAGTCGTTATCAATCTCGGGAACGACGGATGAACTACCACCATGGTGAAAATGCTACATGAACATCTCGCTATATCCGTGACATCATCGTATATTGTTGTCGACTATACTCCCTCAACTCATTTGTTGTATCTAACAATGATGTGACACGATCCCGTAGCATGTTAACGATGAATCCGTAGGTTATGGATATCCGTTGTATTTGTAGATGTTTGATCTTGTACTTCCTTAAGCTCGTGCCTCGTCGGCAGCATGGAATCGAGAAGTAGCGAGTTTGAGGCTATATTGACGTTAGAGTAATAGTGAGATTCGTGTGATCCGAGTCCATATATCCTCTTCCTCCTATTATCTCCTCCACCAACGACCTTCCTAAAAAGCTTATTAATGTTGGCTCTGGTCGATTCGGTCCCTCCGACCGTCGGCTAGCAATCTCTTCCTCATTTATTAATCTTTGTACGAGTCTCCTGCATAATTGTGAAACACATCATATTAAATACGTATATCTAATAACATTACAAATTAATAAATATGAAATAATGTTATAAACTAATAGCTTACACCGAGAAGCCTTGACCGTTGATCGACGAAGACAAGCCGATCATCAATCTTTCTCCGATAAGTCCTCAAGAAAACCTCGTGAGGATCGGATCCACAACCCAACACATCACGTCGAAACCATAAATATACGTAAATGTATTAAATATACCCAAATATTTAATTAATTATTTTGGATATCATTTTACAAAACATTATATATATATATATATGTATATGTATGTATGTATATATATGTATATGTATGTATGTATATATATGTATATGTATGTATGTATATATATGTATATGTATGTATGTATATATATGTATATGTATGTATGTATTTACCATGCGTATGACGTGCTCTCTATGGCCGATCGATCCCCCGTATGTCTTGAAGGATCGGCTTCGACGCCACCAATCTCGCTCCTACAATTTCGCGCTGCCTTCTCGGATCGAGCAACGGCCTCGGATTTCACCTATTATGTAGTCCATGCATCCCATATTTCCTGTGAGATAAAGGCGGGCTTTGATTTTTTTTATAGACGATAAGGAAAGTCGAATATCGCTTTTGTGTGAGACTTTCCCATGCTTTCTTAACCGTGCTCTCGTTCATATCATCATCCCACTTAAATGATTTACGCAAGAAAAATAATAATAATCATTACTAAATTTATTTGCATATTATTTTGTCTTATTTAATTAAATATTAAATAATGTAATTAATTAATTTAAAAAATTAGTACCTTAAACTCTTTCCAATAGAAGTCTTTTGTCTCTAGACTCATTTTCTTCCACATCCATCTAGAAAATATGAACATACTCTTGGAATGTCTTAACGATTGTGCGAGAGCAAACATCGGAGGGATACAACCTACAAAAAATAAACAATAATTAAATTAAAAAATAAATGAGTACACAATAACGGTAATAAAAAAATGTGTCATAAAATTAAGCGTAAATCATACTCATTACGATCAATGACAATGACCCTAACTCGCGGATTGATCGTAGATGTGATAGGTGTCGAAGCCGATTGATCGGGACGTTGTGCGACAAAACATGTTCGGGAACAAAACGGTTGTCTTGATGTAATGATGAAGGCAACGATGACGAGGAAGGAAAAGATGAGGGAGGACGTGGAGGTCCATAATAAGAAAATG